TATTGGTAGAATCACACAGTCTCTGATGGCTTCCTGAGGAAGTTCGTTGCAATTTAATCAAACACATCAGCAACTAGCCATTGTCACGTGTGCAACTACCAACAAAAGGGTTCCAATTGCTTCACAAATCTCCAGTATTCAACTGAATTTTCACTGAAATACCTCAGCTCCTCTCTTAGTAGTTATACTGGCGAATGCTGAGCATATCACTAACTGTCGTGTGGTCCCTTTCAACTTGTCCCCCGTGGCATGTACCCACGGAAATCTTCTGCGAACGGCTCCAGATGTGCATAATCTGCAATTGGAAATCCAGCAATAACATCAGTGGTCTAGTGCACTTCCACAACATCTCTCTTCAGTAGCAATTTAACCAAAATAAGACCTAGTCCTGCCTGTTCCATCTTAACTTCTGCCAACCAAACATTGACAACAGCACTAGCTTAACCCGATTATACGCCTACTACTTGAACTAGCATGCGTCGCAGAGCAAGAAATCAAGTCATGTATAGTAGAAAGAGTTTGACTTGTAAAGGTTGTTTCTCTAATCTAAAGATAATTTTGGATAGGTTCTTTCTGGCAGTTAAAGTTCAGATAAATAAGCCACGGCGTCCAGTTTGTACGACAATACAAGACAAAGTTGGACTTTAAAGATTGGGTCAAATGCAATCCAGACAGACACATATGTTAAGTATTTGTACTCTAATGGATCCAAAACAAAGCACGTGGGTAGATTAGTTGAACTCTAGGTCAATCCAACTAAAGAAACGGTTGTTGGGTACTTGCATCGCAGTCGAACCAAGAAAATGACTTTATATTTTAAGATTTTAATTCATTTTGTCTACTGCTCAGCAAAACATCGTGCACCGAGACCGATGACTACATGGTAAGTGGGTAATACGGAAACCTCCCAGGTCTGTAAGCGACATCAGCCACAATTACGTTGTTACCAATTTGTTTTATGAAATGATATTAGCGGTTACACGTCTTGTTTAATGAGGCCTATGTTAAAATTCCAGTTATTAGTTTGTTTAGCATTGACCAACTAATGTTAAGTTTTGGTTAGTCGGTGACTTATTCCTTTGGTTATAAAAATAGGGAGCTGATGAAAACTTAATAGCAAATATATAAATATAACGTTATATGAATATATATAACTTATTATACGGCAGTGCAACAAAAGCCACGCTGAAGAAAAGTCTACCGTGGTGTGTTGGTTAATGTAATGCCTCAGGAATATTGAAGATATGTAAAGCCATGTTTAGTGAGTTAATTATTTTAACAAGTGTTTACTTGCATTTTTCCCGTGAAGTTAGTGAACTTATGCTTCCAGGTATTTTGATTTCAAACTCAGGAAACCGGTAATGTGTTTACTACAAAATCAGTACTATATAATTAAATATTTCTAGACGGTGCATCAAATTAAACATTTATCTCCATTTAAGAAACTTATCTTAAATGTTAGTTCACCTAGTTTAGTTACAGTATACGATAACTTACTTGAACATGGCTCTTGGGTTTTGCTTCTTGGGTTTTGGGTGACTCATTAATGGGTATACATGTGAGTGGGCCGGCTCAGTAGTCAAATTTGTAGAATATGATTTAGAATACATTAAGTTCTCTTATGATCGAATCAGCACAGAAGTTATGGCATATTAGCCCGATCTTAAGCAGCCCTACTACGACATCTAATTTTATAAAATTTACAACAGCCGGTGTTAGGTCTGGTGTACGGTATACAAATATCCGCTAGGTAGCTTAATAATTACTATTTCGCTACTTACTATTGCAGTAACTGTCGTTCTAGTGCAACTAGTCATAATATATTTATTGAGCTTACCAACGGCAGATATCGACAGCATGATTAATGTTATAAAATATTAGGTCTGATTAGCAGCCCGTAGCTAAATTTTAAATACCTCAAAGAGTGCACAAAAATTGTTATTTGCATTGTCATTATTATGTTTTATTTGCCATAAACATATATTATTTGCAGGGACGTAAAGGGACATTTACTTAGAACGCATTTTTCAAGCCAAATTTTATTTATCTCAATGTCCGTAGAAATACATTTACTAAAAGTTTACACGGATTTTGTATTCTTAATTCAAACATAAATGAATGAATGATGTCGGTAATGAAAAAAATAAATTTATATTTTGGTCTTACAGGTTGAGGTTAGTATTGAAATATTATAAACGCCAATTCACTTTACATTAAAAGTATTCTTTCGGATTGGACTGCAAAGTAAAAGCTGCAAATTTTACGAAGTTCCGCTAACGAATTATAACGATATTACCGTTACGCCGCCTTCTTAGCAATTTTTCATAGAAATAGTAACAATAACATTAATGAGATAAAGAGGATATAGTAGGTATCCTGTGCCAAGCAAATGTCAACATACATACAAATGTCAACATACAATTTTCATTTTTACTTTCAAAGTAACTTAAAAAGGAAGCTTATTAGATTGGTTTTACAACGCACCATCATCTTTTGCATTAAAAAGCAAAGTAAACGAAATGGATAAGACGTGCTATCGTTTATTCTATTTTTCGACATTTAGCCGGTGACTATTAGTTTTCCTCAAATCCGAAAACATTGCAGTACCGAATAAGCATTTATTTTGGGAATCGCTCATCGGACACTTGATTCCCTTACGGATTTTGCATTTTCATTTTAATGACTGTCATACAATTAAATCTGAGTTCTTTGAACATCAATGCAAAAATAAAAGCTAAAGGAAACGTTGACTGATATTTGATAATTTCTCGAGCATCATTTTTTAAATAAAACAATCAGTGGCAGTCAGATTATGAAGTGAGGCAAAGTAGGGATGCTTACGTACCCTATAATCCATCAAATTTAGTAAAAGGTGGAGGATGAATACACAAACAAGTATCCAGCGGCAGGTCTATTTGTTGCATATCAGGAACTTATCAATATTGACAACCAAACTTCTCAAGCAGCGCCATTGATTGGTATCTTGCATACAAAACGGCAATTTGAACTGAACCCATGCTATACAAAAAACGAATATGAAACCAGTAAAAAGACAGAATGTTGTTTATAGGATAAAGAGCCAAATTTGTGAAAAACAATATGAACCAAATATCAGGGAGTTCTTTTTCAGAATACAAGCCGGTCGAAATTCACAACTCATTACCACTTGTTACGGCGCAGCTTTATGCGGATGTACACAAATGTGACTAGGAAACCGATTGCTACAACACAGGGAGAAGAAATAAGGTGGAGTAAAATTCCCCTAAAATTGGTTCCAGTCTACAGTGGGCTGAAAAGAAAGAGGCTGTGTGCGAAGCAGTACAAAGGGTAAAGTTAGCAGGCATTCATGTTTACTCTATCCGGTATTGGTCGTATTGCACTTGACATTTCTTCTATTTTAAAAGAAAAAATAAATCGTAAGTGGAAACGGTATTCCGTGACTGATCTGGAAGTAGGGGCTTTGCCGTTTGGGTAGACATCTGATACCAGCTAGATGCTCTCCTGGACATGAAACAAGCAGGACTTTTTAATTTATCCTGAGAAGTCACATATCTGTGTTTGGAAAATTGGCACGTGGTCAATGTGTTGTAAGATATTCCTCCTGAAAGGGCTTAACAAAGCGCAACCGAATTTAATAATCTGAAATGTGGTATTTGCTCTGACAAAACGGAGTTACATAAGCGAGTTATCCATCTCGCAGGAAGTGACAAGTTTAAGCCTGGATAATCGCTATGCATCGTCAGAACGTCCCAATTGTATTAATAAGTAGGCTTAACCGTTTCTCATTTTTAATGTTGGGGTTGTATCCAAATGCGTCAATACCGGTCCGCGTGGCTTTCAGGCGTTCACTTTCAGCATTTGACAGTAGATGATTAAAGAAAATTGCGGACGTTCAGTGCCAACACTTTGAGTGCAATATTTAGTTACATTCCATATGTTAGACAACGTGAGCATCAACGAGATAAAAGCGTGTGAATAAGCAAATGACTTACATTTGAGGCGATTATAGCCATAAACCTTTTAGATTTTCTTGATTTTCAGCGGTCCCAATACTGGTAACTAGATTATATAAACATGCAACGGAACTGCGCTTCTACATTTTAAAAAGTATCAAAGTGAAGCTGTTAGATTATTAGGAACCTTATAACTTTAGTTCGTTCTTCTTAATGCACGTTTTCAAACAATTATTTAAACCAGGCTCTATAATAGTTGAAGTTTTCTGTTGATATTTTCTGTGCATGACTTGCTATTGCTTCAAAGAACTCCAATGGAATAATTGGATCAGTAATTGTTTATTTGTTTTGGCTATCCCCTGGTTCTTTTATGCACATATGCACGACGTTTGCCCCGAGTTCAGCTTGTACAGAGGTAAATTTAGCCAAGCATTCATATGCAACGAAATATATCTTACCGCTGGTTTTCGCTGAACATATCTACGTCTTTCAATGACAGACGAGTGAGTGTCACGGAGAACAAATCTGAACAGATCATCAACATCAGTCCGAACCAGACCGGAAGTAGATAAACGCACAGGCAGTCAGCGCAATACAGTCAATCGGTTCGCAACTAGGACTGACAGTCTCACTTAAGCTTAATGAAGACCGATTGCATTGACACCACTGTCACAGCATTTTAAATTGCTATGACAGTCAAAACGTATCGGTAAGGTTACGGTTACCTACGACTTGCGTAGGCTGAAGGAAACAGCTTAGACAAAGGCATCATGCATTCTTACCAAATGAGGATAAGCCACACAAATGAGGGTGAGTTTTTGGATTCGTCCGTACATTACAAAAAATTAGGGCACCGTTTCAAGTACCAACACATATGAAGACGGGCATATTTTATATATCCGCTTCCTTAACCGCATGTGAACCAATCATCAGACTGGCCAATCAAAATTGCACAAGCTTTTTAGTCAATTTAGCCGTCTGCATAAGCCATTCTACTTATACTACGGTGTGTCAGCTAATAAACTTTCGACCGTATGAATGTCATAAATGAGATTTTCACTGAAAATAAGTGCTGTTCCTGGAATACTTACTGCAGTCTCGTTTCTGGAATTACGTTTGGGATTGAGCTTGTACGAAGATCACATTATCCAATGGAGTCCTAACAACTCAAGGTAATAACAATTTTAAATGCGCTAACAGCTTTGCAGCGCCGAATAATTTATAATTTGTATGTACCATAACAACAAACAGGCACATAATAGGGTACATGTTTTCATAATCTGGATGAAATCCGTCAAAGTATGCAATAGATGACATTAATTGGCTAAACATTGTTCTTCTATGTTTCGTTAGAGTAGCGTTGATTCATAGTAAGCATTTATGTCATAAGACCAAGTTTATGCTTAAGGAATGCTAAATTTATCGGAATACTGAAATTATCAACTCCTTAGGCCAACTGGGTATCGAATTGTTTCTATATAATCCCTTGGACTAGCCCGTCGGAATAATTATTAAAGGCTGGCATTCGGAAACCTGTATTTTGTAAAATCCAAGGAGAAATAGTTAACAAATTATTTCGTTTATTGAAATGTTGGAGTCAGAACACAACGCTTGCCTTGTAGGAAAGGTAGCGATGCCTGAGGCGGTAATGTTTGGCATCTTTTGCCGTGACAAAAAAAGGTAACTCTGAATGTGCTCTTATATCTTTTGTAATATAACTTGTTGAATATGTTTAATAGCCTTAATCAAATGCTCATTGTTAGCTTAGGGATACTTCCGTTGCATTATATGTGCGCGATCTATTAACATATCGCCACGTGACGTCAAAATGATTCTGCTAATTACTTCCTTTTCGTAAGCAAATAAGACTGCGAGTTTTACCATGTTCATCCTGTTTGCTCGAACTCGATAAATAAGCTGCAGTACGCCGGTAAGGTGTGCAGATTATGATACTGTACATTTTTGCACAGATAAAGACCGTCGGCTGGACATAACTGATTGATAATTATACTTAAAACAAACCTGCCCTCGTCTTAAATATAGACACGTGTTACCTTTATCACTCAAAGAAGGTGCGGGACGTTTCAGATGCTACCCGGAATCCTACTTCATATTACTGTGGAAATTAGCCCTTGTTTTATCCATCAAGCTTAGCACTCTGCCTTACCTGATAAAGTGTAACATGCGTGGCACAGGTGAAAGTCCCTGGGTTAGGAGTGCAAATTTAATTGAGTCCAAAGCGACGATATTTATTAATTTCATCATATTGTATCGTTATATAAAACGGGCTACACATTATAAAAGAAGAACTTGCATTTTGGACCTTTTCTTGTATGTACTTCTCTTTATTACAGTAGATTATTACTCAAAAATTTCTATCAGCAAATTAGTTATTTTATACCTATTCATCCAACTCAGTATGCTTGCGAGTGTTCGTACATGTAGTCAATATCCTACAGCTATCCACTTGATTTCGATAACTGTAATGTATTTGTCAATTAAAAGAGCCGTGAAAACGCAATGTAAGTTAGTCTGTACGATCTTAGTCACTCTGTTTGGACTGTTTAAATTCAATACTGTACGTCATGCTGTTAAAGATATTTCCTACTATTTCTGACGGATATCAAGGCTAACTAGTAGCACTTGTTTTCGGTACTTTGGTCGTCAAATAACCGTTTGGATTACAAAAGCACAGTGAAATAGTATCCTACATCCTGTACCTGTCAATTTTCTGAAAAAATGGCACTGGTAAATCATCATGGGCTGTTGTCTGATTACGAAACAATGGCTGGAGGAAAAGGCACAATGGAGCAGAGAGTACAAAGTAGGGACTTCTTACAAAGGTAGAATAATGGAACAGGCAAAGACGAAATGGTTGCCCATTGCGTTAAATTATGCTTGCTGCCGGGAGTTTATGGTTGACCAGATAGAGGCATATATTCTGACTTGTTCATTTCAGCTTGGCACTGTCAGTTGCGTTCAACCTTCTTATAATAGTAACCTTCTGCAAGCAAATAGGTCGACATACCACATCCGTAGTTTGCTGTTGGTACCGGTTGCATTATTAAATAAAATATTCAGGGTGGGCTTGTCTGTGGCATGCCTGATTTGTTTACTCGTAAAACTATTATAGAGATCATTGCATATAAGCAATATATATGTAATTTAATGTTAGATAATTTTGGTTTTTTAGTCGTCTACTTAAATTTTTAACATGTTATCCTTTGACGCAAGCTTGTATACCGATTTTCAATGTTGCTATAAAATATATGCCTAAATCAACCATTGCACCGATTTTCCCACATATTCCAACCGATGGTAATGTGACCAAAATAAGATATAGTTCAAGTTTAGCTAACTCACTAAACACCGAATATAAACATAATTATGTAAGTCAGTTTAGTTAAGATCTTGTCTTAATGTATTTGCCAGTTGAGGAATCTATACATATATTCCTATCCCCAAACCATGGCGTTTTCATAGGTTTTACTACCGAAAATAGGTGCAGTTTCCATATATAGAATCTGAACAATGGGGTAAGAAGACAAAAGTTGGTCAACGCATACATTTAAAATTATCTCGTCAACACCTTTGACAACAATTGATATGCAAACATGTAAATAACTGTGTGCGTGACTAAACAAGCTTGAGTTGCTAAATGGGTGACGGAATCTTTACCTCTATGATCATGGAAATCTTAAGCTAACAAATATTTATTTTTGAAGGAACACGGATGGCTTCATCCGGCTTATTGCCACGGGCTCAACAAAACGGATGAAGCAAGGATTAGCGTGATCGTTGAACCGAGCTGTATCCGGGGATACGTGACCAGCAGGTGTCTAACTATTGCACGTGTTCCTTTATTCTAGAATTTCAAGACCGATCAGTTCTCCGTATGTAACTGGATCAGCACTCATAAACGAATTGGGATATGCAGCGTGAAACATCCTGATCGGCTTATCTACCTTCGTTAGAGGAACAGACAAATTAAAAGAAGCATCAAGTTTCTAGCCTACGGTTGTCATTTACTCTTCAATTATATCATACAGTTAAGACTTACGAAGTACTACATTTAAGATTAATCGTCTCAAAGAAAGCAAGTGGTCATCGATGACTTTCTCACTAAGGTGCCTCAACTTATATGTTATAGTTAAAGTCCGAAATCTAAGGTATCTAGCGAAAGCGCTCTGTCGACTTCATTCACAATATATCGGAGTTTTGTTGCTTGACGCGGCTAATGTATAGGTTCCTAAGTAGGCATAAGGTAAAAGAGAAATATCTGGGAGATTCGATATGGATGTTGCATTATCTATCCACGGAAATAGTGCGGTTGGTTTTGGAGCGCAAAATATGTGATGTAAAGTAAGATAGTGAATTTAGAACCAGTTCTCACGTAATTTAGTGTCTATTACTGAGCTTTTAACGGAGAATGGTTGGCATTATTCATTTTTCTAACTTGTGACAGTCATTTGCTGCCACCCGTGGTCTAACGCCAAACTCCACAGTCGATGATATATTTCTATTTATATTACTGATGGAGGCTTGCCCTAGATACGCCCTTGGTGGCGTGATTTTGGTTCAGCCACTATGTGACAGCTAATTGATGAAAAAATTTTCACAATTTGTGCAACGCTTCACCGCCAAGCACTGTTAATAGCCCTTTGTGTTCCGTTATTTTATACGAAGATGTATACTAGTACTATCTGGATGAATACTGCAGGTAAGTTTAGGAGTGCCAATCTGTAACACGCGAAGTAATTACATGTCCAACAAGAAGCTTTTACTAACAAACGTAGCACAAATAGTGATTTGCGAAGCGTAACATAAAATAGTAAAAACGATAAACCTTTGCTGCACTCCGTTAGACAATTTCCAATTTTGCGGGCAAATCTTTTGAAAGGGTGTTACCGAAATTGACATCAGTAATGGCCTATAAACATTGGAGAAAACCGAAGAGCTGAGTAGTTACCTAGATACTACAGAATCAACTTATATGCCTTTGCGTACAAAAGCAATTAAAAATATCGGTGTTATGAAGGACAGCAGAAATTTCGGCGATCATTAACCATATTAAGCATGCGAACTAATAACAACACCTAATGGGTAAAACAAGATGGTAAATACTAATACTGTTGTGAGCTATCCCATCTTGTTAAAAAGTAGGTTGCACACATTTTCAGAAGAGTTTTACGGTTTATATGTATATATATATATATATTGATTGCGTTTGTCAAATCGTTCTACCTGAACAAAGAATCAGGTGAATGTTAGTGTTTCAAAAAATATTGGTAAAATTACAACACAGACAGCAACGGTCTGTCTACATACTTAGTCGACTATTCTCTATTCAAACATACCAAATCTCGTATGTTGTTTACAAACATGGATCAAACAAATACGAGGAGATCACGCAACACAAGAAATGTAGTAGTCTTTAATTAATAATTATGTTACTTGTAATAGATACTTCTAAGAATATGCACACATGAATGGAAATAAGTTTCGCAAGCATACCTTATTACTATGGACTTGGCTATGTTATCTTTATCAGCCGCACTATGCGCCGCTAGCAGTTTGGCTTTGCAACGTAATAGTGTATTCTTTGTAGACAACAAATGGGAAATCACTATGGGTATTCTTTGAACGCAAAAAGTAACAGGCTGTTTGGCGCTTCACTTCATTTTACTGTGAAAATGTGACATATTGGACCAATTTCCTTAATGTCTTCGCACGACTACATCAGCTTTCTTGTTGGACGTAAAAAGTCGTTTGTGTCCCATCCGGATGAGATGTAGCGCCGCTCGATTGCTCTACACAATGAGTGAAAAATTTACAAATTCCTAGCAACCGGCTGTGCTATGTTTCTTACTTTAAATGGTTGCCACCCATGGAGGTGTGGCGGCTGAAATATAACAGCTGACGGCTGGCTTCTTTCAGAGCTTCGATGGTTGGGTGTGTCGGTATGAGACCACCATGCAGATGTCCTTATAATCATTTGTAAACCTTTAGGCAATCAATCTGTTTGGGAAGTGAAAGAAACAATAAATATTTATGTCGTTCTTTTTTACTATATCACAAGCGCACCGAGAGCATGGTTTCGCTACTAATGGCAGAAGTATCCAGGATATTCTACATCCGGCCTCACTAAACTTTTGTTTGCAGGAGACCAGCAGGGCTGAAAACACAAAACTCTTTCAAAGTGTAACATTTGGCTTAGGCAAAGGAGAGTATATTTTACGAAAATTCAGGGTTCATATACTGCGCCGTAACAGGTGCACTATGTGCAGATATTCCAAGGTACTTAAGTGACATTTACACGTTGTTGTTCTCGTAGCCGTTCTATAAGGAGAGCATGGCTTGAGCAAACAAACAGTTAAAACTCGATTCTCTATCAAGTACGATGTCCTTTTGTTGAATGCAATATCTGCAATAATGTATTAAATGAGAAGGCTTGCGAATTCGTTTATGAAACTAAGCATTTTACTGGACTAATACTGGTCTTCATGAGGCAACATAACCTATTTGGATAAGAACAATTAAACAATATTTGCTGCTTCAACAGCATTAACAGAATAATTGTGTTCATGACCAGCTTTGCGTGATTTATTGCAAGTTGGGGGAAAACACGAATTCACTTAAAACATTATGTGAGTGATCTTGCAAAGATTGATGTCATGACATTAGACATATTTCGTGGGATATTTATTGACCGTTCTTTATTGACTTTGACACGATTGTCTAATTGTAATTAGGAATGCTTTGGAGTGTATCCATGGAATTAATTGCGTTTCTTTGCAAGATATCGGTGCAGCATAATACATCAGTTTTCTGACTTCTTGGGGATAGGGCAAGAAGAATCGAAGTAAACGTGGCGATGCCAAAAGAACAATTTTTCCTAAATAATTGATGGTTCAATTATGCGCTACATTGCTTAACGTAAGTCACTTGATCCATTGCATAAGTTCTTTTTATTTCCAAAACAATTTGGTTGGATTCATAAGCGGCCCGAATGATCAAACGCCATGCTGCTAGCGAACAGCGTTCCAGGATTTTAAAATTCAACGACTGCACCCAAACTACCCAATGTTGTAATATCTATTATGAACAACTAATATCTTGACACCGCCAATTCTTGACTGTATTTCATCGTTTGACATCTGACCAATTGATTTGTTTCACAGCAGACAACCACAAGTATGTGAAAACAATAAATCAGTTAAATGAGACTGAGGCTTGCCTATATTAAATTAGAGGGAACAATACGTCCGTCCAGTAAAAATCCCATATTTCCCCTATAAAGCAAATGATTAGGGCGTGGATTATAGGGAGTTCGGTTAAAACATCGGAAATAAAGTTAACCAATATCCTTGAGATCAGCTAGTATTTTAATTGAATATACGCTACGCTGTTAGCGAGATGGGATTATTTATTCCTGTGGCATTTGTTATGGAATGAAAAGACAATTTTGTACTTATTAGCCAAATGATTCGTTGGCTGATCAATCTAGCTGCATTTTCCTTTGACGCAGAATTTTCTGGGAGTAATCATTGTTGAAACTATCCAGTTTTTCATTTGTTTGGGCCGCTACATAGATTTGCTCGTAAGTAACAAAGAACATTATCTTTCTTGTCCTACTAGATAATAACATTCAAACTTTTCAACAACTCTGCCTCATTCAATGTAAACCACTGTGTATTAAGGAAAAGTATGTTACAACATGGATTAAAATTTGGGCCAAAACCCGGTGGAATAAACCAAAGCGGTGGTAATAAAATAAACAAACATTTTGTGTTAAACGTTGCTAAGATATAATTGCGGAAGCTTTATGACAAGAAACGTTGAACTCAACGGCTGCACAGTATTGAAGACGTTTGAACATAGCAGCTTGTACAACGAATTTACAACAAGAGCGATCTACGACCTAGGCCGTTTCACATTGAACAGCGGAAAGCAAGCGTATTCAGATGGCGCAACCCATAGTAATATTTATATTTACTGACCAAATTGGGTCAAAGTAAATAACCGTAGTATCATTAATTATCTCGATTCCGTTGTTGATAGTGTAAACTGGATTATCGCAACCCAATCGGCCTTTATTTGGCAAAATTGTCGTCGTCGTTTTAAAGTATTTGCTGCTAATGACTGGGGCAAATGCTTACGTTGAAGGGGGAACTTTAATTGACAGCTGTTGTGAGTCTGGACTGGTAAATTTACTATTGCCTAATCCTTAAATTTATCCACCTTACGTTTTTCTCATACTTTTTAGAGTAAATTATAACTGCTACCCCGGCAAGAGTTATGCTCCTGAGCCAATACGCATGCATCACAGAGCTAGATAGCAGGGAGAAATCTACTAATGTTATATATGTAGACTGAGAAGCCGAATTTAAGTGTACGATATAATTGTTTCTACCTAACAATAAACGTTTTCTGGTTGCTCAATGCATTCTGCAAATCTCACATTGCTTGGCACGAAGGTTTTACACTTCAATAGCTTTCAAGCAGTTCGTGAAATTATCGGCAATCTCAGATTCATATGCAGCTGATATGACATATTTGTCCTGGTTAATTTCTCCTTATCGCAAATTTCGACCTATGATTTACCGATTATTTCGTGTCTCTAATTGGCCGTTTGCATCCAAGGTGTAGCATTATAAAAGAATAGCAATAAATCTATTATATGTGCATTGGAATTAAAGTTCTTTTTCTCCGTATTTTCCGCTGTCATAGTAATGTAAAACCATGACTATCGCGGCGGGTTGTCTCGGTGAAATGATAGTAATATATTTTTATTACCCTTAATTTAAATGTTACCATTGTTGACGACATTCGTTGTTCTTGCGGTTTAAGTGCAACATACAGAAATGGCACCCAAGTGCATACATAAACCTTTTTATTTTCGCCATTCTCCTGACTATTTACATCTCCAAGTCTACTGCCGTTAAATGTTCATGAGTCACAACGTTGAATTGAAAAGGAGTGAAATAGCCAAGGCTTAACTCGCCATGATTATGGACAAGCCATTGTAGAATCAACGCGTCAATGTCTTATCTAAATATATATTTTACGTTACACGTGGCATTTTAATTTCTCTCTAAAACTCTCGTTATATTACAGCTGAACAAATTTCGTGGTACCTCAGTAGATTGAACTTTTTGAAAGGTGATATAGAAATGAATCATATTGCATGGGAACTTAAGGTTGGTGATTAAGGTTACGTCCAAACTGGGCAGATGAAAAGGCTTTCTCATAAATAACCTGTTAGAATGCAAACAAGAAAGATGACTGAAACGCATTTTCGTTCTGTATACAACAGGTGATGTAGACAGAATCGTGTGGATTTGGATCCCCATACTGCGAGCGACAACATATTGCATCTATAACTAATATTGAATCACCGCAAATTCGTAAGAGTTAGATTTGTTAACCGAATAGGCATTGATCGAAAGAACAGGATACTATCAAAAATATATGGATCAACATTTTTTCTAATGGGTTGCTGAATTTCTTGCTCAAAGAGAGGAGGTATACATAATGAGTGAAACAGCAGTCTGGGTTTGTATATGTATAGCGTCATAGTTTATCAAACACATTGCCGATATACAAAAGTAAAGCGATTACCAAATTCCCATGCAGTTTGATTCAAGCAGTCATCTAAGAAGAGTAGAACATCTCGTCTTTGCTTATGGACGTTGAGGCGCACATTTGTAGCACTAGGAACACGCTATGCTTTTATTCAATAGGGAAACATGTTCTTGGTAAGGAGCTATGCTGAATTCATATAAATTATAAATTCCATCACATATTCTATTCCAGATTTGGGTACAATAACAAGCCATTGCTTGTCAAGGAAGGTGACAATATTGTTTTTCTGTGCCCAAATGAAAGGAGGCATAAATATACATTGTATTGGGTAAGCTATATATGGCTTTCGGTGTTTTTCTGTTTGTATCACTAATTACAATTGACACATAATATATTTGAGGATGCAGTATACAATAGTATGTTTTAATCGCTGCTTGCTACATAGTTCGGTTTCAAATTTAATCCGAGTTTTCAAAAAAATATTGACGCTGTTTCTGTATCAGATTATGCTGTTAACTTATTTACAGTCATATTCATTAAGAGTAACTAATTGTTGGCCTTCGTATACGTAATGTTAAATTTTTCTGATGGTTTGCTTCCAATTTAACCGTTGTGTGTAGCGGATGTTATCCTCAAGCAAACTTTCAAGGAACGAAAGTTGGCAAGGCGGTAGTTATATCAATATAGAGGCTGCAATTTCATCCTCTCAGAAGTGGATATACGCTTAAGTTCAGCTGATGAGCGTAATCGAATGTTTCACAATAGTTGCATATTGCAGTAAATTAAATGGAGCTGAGATAACTGGGTTTCCAGTAGCTTTTCATACTTAGATGTCAAGTTTATTGTTTTTTAGTTACAGTCAGCAACTACGTATTCCAATACGGTAGTTTGCCAAACAAATGTCGCTTTGCCATCTAAGGAGTGTCAGTCAACGCGTATTGAGTAATTCACATCATTATCGCCCATAGGAAACGAAATAATTTGGGTGACACTATTAAAAGCGTTGCATCGACACCTAACGCAAAAGCTTTGAAGCAATTGTGATCAATTCAACTCACACTTGAGACGATTAAACATAGTAGTGTCTACTTTGGATAACCTATAGGAATTAGACGTATTTGGAAGAAAGTGGCATGCAGTTAGATATGCGCAGCATAAGACCAAATGATCCTATTCAAATTCGTAGCGAAAAGAATATATAATTGGAATTAAAATAAAAGGGTAAAGGTTTGTGATTAAAAAGATATATGCAGCAAAATAAGATCTGCTCTTAGCGCCGTTTACCAAACTACACTCTCTTAGCTTTCTGCTAAAACATTAAGGCAAACTGGTTATATTCTGGCTTCCTCAACGTTATAAATGCCTACCGTCTAAACAAAAGGTAAAAGAAAATCTGGGCATGCATAAGTAAAAAATTAACAAAAGGCAGTCACCGAGAGCAGTGGCAAGGATTCGGATATAACTAAGCTAATCCATCATCGTCACTCCCCATCACCAGACTTAGAACTAGTCAAGAATAGCACCAGCCGCCGGCTTTTTGCGTTTCTGGGTTTCGTCATCGGTGTACCTTCCAGACAACCTCTACCCGGATAAGCCGCACTGAATTCAGGATGCCAGCTTCTAGTGCCTTTTCACCTTGGGTGAAAACTTTACATCTACGTGATTGACATTTGAATATGATATAGCCCAGCGCATCTTCCATTGTAATGTCAATTACGAACTGTTTTAAAGGACAGTGGCTAACCTCAAGGGCTAGCATTTTCGGTATAGCGCGTATGTGCGACCTAAGACTTAAAAGATATTCAGACATATTTCATATTACTGATAAATGGTAGTAAGTATATCGGTAAATTTCAGCTAATTCATCATCGTCGCTACCAATCAGCAGTATTTGTGCTAGACAAGAAATGCTCCAGTCGCCGGCGTTTCGACTCTGTGGGTATCGACAGTAGTGCGCCTCTCAGTGGACCTCTGTCGAGTTACCTCCCATGACATCAGGATGTCATCAGGTAGGGCCACTTCGCTATGGGTGACATCCACGGATCCTGGTGATTTTACATCTGACTATATTATAGCCCGGCTCATCTTCCACTGCCACGCCAGTTAAGAAAGTTGCGGAGGAATTTTGATAGTTTTACGAGCACGAACTTGGTAAGGTGGAAATGCCGTGGTCTGGTACCTTTTCAGAATACCTCTAAGTGCTGATTGGGAGTGACGGTGAAAAATGGGCTAATTTGTAATAACATACACACAATTCATTACCCATTCCTTACCATTTACTTACTTGACATATCTCCATATAGCTTCTATGTCTGGTATCGTACATTAGGCGCTACGCGAAAGTCCTATCTCGTGAGGCTAGCTTCTGGTTTCTGCACAGTTTTTAGCTGACATGGTAGAGGAGGATAAGCCAGGCACATTTATTGTCAACTGGAAATCGCCCAGATCCACGTCTCCCACCAATGGCTTAGTAGCATACTCATCTGGCATCCAGAAGTCAAGCATCGGGTCGCAGCATTGCTCCGCTGTAAGACTACCACTGTCGAGACAATTAATGTCGAAGTGCTGGCGTCTGGTGCCTTTCTAGACTAGCCCTAAGTCGGCTGATTGGGTGGGACGATAGTGACTTAGCTAAATGTTACCAGATCTTCACTGCCACTCATCAGAAATATAAAATCTGTCCGTATATTTTCTAAGTCCAATGTCGTACATACGCGCAATGCGAAAATTCCGAGCTTCTTGAGGCTAGCCACTGTCCTTTGCACAATTCGTAATTGACATCGTAGTGGAAGATGAGCAGGGCTATATCATATTCAACTGTCAATCACGCAGGTCCGCGATGCTCAGCCGTGTTGAAGTGGCAATGGCTGCTAGCATCCTGAATTCATGGAGACGGAACCCTGTAGGAGTCGGCTGGGTTACACATTAACTTCCAGACAAAAAAGGTCGAAACACCGTCGTCTAGTGCTTTTTCAGCCGCCCTACCTCTGCGTAGTGAGAGTGACAATGATAAATAAGCTAAATTGTACCCAAATCCCCACTACAAATTATGAGTACTATAAAAGCTGTCAGTAATGATCCTAAGTCCTGTACCGTAATTAGACATTATGTGGCAAGTCCTAGCTCATGAGGCAAGCCTCTGGACTCTGTAGAAGTTGCCGCTGGCAAGGCAGAAGAAGATGATCCAGGCACATTTATATTCAACTGTCAATCAGGCAGGACCATTTCTCCCACCCATGGCGAAGTGGCGTTTGCTGCTGGCATCCCGAATTCGTGCGGTTAGGTACCGGCAGTGCTCCGCTAAAAGGCGTACCACTTCCGAGAAAATGAATGTTCTGAGCGCCGGCGTCTGTTGCTTTTCTAGGCTAACCCTAAGTCGGCTGATTGGGAGTGACGATGATCAGTTAGCAGATTTTACCAAATTCCTCAGTGTTACACATCAGAAATATAAAAGCTCTCGGTTTACGGACGGAAAGTCTTAGCTCGTGAGGCTGGCCGCTCTCCTCTACACAGTGGTAACTAGCATTACAGTGGAAGACGAGCCAGACTATATTATAATAAAATCTCAATCACGCAGGTCCGCGGTTGTCACCCATGGCATTAGCTGCTGGCATCCTAAAGTCAAAAGGCGGAATTTGGCAGGGGTCCTCTTGGAGGCGCACGACTGACGAGGCCCAGGAGGTCAAATTGCCGGCGTCTGTTGCTTTTACAAACTGGTCCTAAGTCGGTTGATTTATAGTAATGATGATAAATTAACTGAATTATACCGAACTCCTTACTACTACTCATTAGTAATATAAAATCTATCTGTATAGCTTCCAAATACTATGTTATATATTTGCGCTATGCAGAAAGTCCGAGCTCGTGAGGCTAGCCACTCTCCTTTGCACAGTTCGTAATTGGCATGGCAGTGGAAGAAAAGTTGGACCGTATCATAGTTAACTGTCATTCACGCAGGTTCGCGGAGGTCAACCACGTCGAAGTGACCCTATCTGTCGGCATCCTGTAGTCATGGGGATGCGGAACACGGCAGTGGTCAACTGGGAGGTGCTCCACTGACCAAATCCAGAATATCGAAATGCCATTATCTGGTAGTTTTCCAGACTAGCTCTAAGTCTACATATTGTGAGTGACGATGATGGATTAGCTGAACCATTGCATTCAACTATTTGAGGAATTATTTTAACTGTGGTCCGAATCTTTGCAGCTCATTCAGATTTATCGGTATGTTTTAGTTGAATGGTAAGTTCTTTTCAAAATAGCACGGAAAGTCCGCAGCCAAATGATTTGTCTCATGACTTGTCATGGATTTGACAATTGTCATCCCTAAGTCGTCGTGCAACCGTCTGTGAGGAATATGATTAATGAGCTTGAATATAACCGCAGGTACTGTAATTTTAATTGAAGAAGTTAACTTCGCAATATTTTTCACAAATGTACACCATGTAAGGCTGAAGATAATGGGTTATATAACCGGTATGATGGAGATTTGCGGAAAGATGCAATTCCGTAATCAAATTATACTTAATTATTTTGTAAGTTAACAAGACAGATGTCCCTTTTATAACACTTAGGCATAAACTGAGGAAGTACCTATACTCTCCTAATCATAATCGTTTCCAGTAAAAGCTTCATTTCAACGAGCATCCATCACATCGCCGCAGCATGATGTCCAGAAAAGATTGCTTACTCACTTCTTCCGTCTTATAAGAAAGTTTCAAAGATGAAAGGTCGCTGTTAAGAAACCACAGTAGGAAAACTTAATCAGTATGTTGATAACAGCCAGTGAATATATCATCAAGAAAGGTTGATAAGTGAAAATGCTGTGATTCGGTGCAGAAGAGGTCCGATTTTGGTATTTACTTGAAAAACATCAGCGGGTAGCCGCTTAGATGGCAACCATTCGCCACAATCGCAATTTGTAAATAATATTTCTGTCAAACAGTAACGGTCTATTGGATGAGCAAAGTTTGTTAAGTTGCCTGGCGCACTGCAAGTGAATGCTGATGGTAAAGTTTATTTTAGGTGTTCGCAGATAAAGTTTATTGTTCTTATTGACAAAACCTTTTTGCAACGTGATTCCATATAAAAGTTTTCGTTAATTTGTCTTTCACGTTTAAACCAGTTGACCTCTTTATGGATTCAAAGGTGTTACTCATTGTGTGGTTTAATTATACTTACGTGGTGTATGGAAGTGCTCAAATAAACGATAGCGACAAAAAGTACTGCTGTCCCATATATATATATATATATATATATATTATGGATATTAGTTAATGTCAATTTTTTTATTTTGGTAGTATGTAGAAAAGAGGTGGCTGTTAACCGTATGGCCTTGGCCAATCAAGCAAAGTGCCATCTATATGATTGCAACGCTACATTTATTGCAACAAATTGGTGCTTTATCTCACCCTGCATGATGTTGTCGTTTGGTATAGGGTTCGTCATGAATTTCCTGTAGTTAACTAAATTAGGCTGCCTTTTCGTAGCGTAGCTTAAATTATCCATAATTATCCAACCTGATGATTTGTCCTGCTTAGATCGTATTATCTCATTTCAGCTGCACCTATGGTGCGCGGTACATAGAACACGACCACACGCCTGTAGAGGTTTAAAGTGAAGCTATTTTCTTCCTCTGTCATGGTACTGTCAAGGCCGCCTGAATCGCATTTTTGGAGAAAATTGTGCGGAGGTAAACACAGTAAACAGACGAAATCCTAATTCAAACACGTAATGTTTTATAGAAACGGGTCCCTAGAGGAATCACAAAAGTTTTTTTGGTAACTGGAATCCATTACAATCCCAAGTCTGAAGCCACAGTTATGCAGACAACACGCGCGGGTGGGAAATTTGACCGTGCCACTGTTATGGATCATTTAGTTGATTCTAGGCTAATTGAACTATGATGCTGTTCACCCTTGGCCATTGACTACTACATCCAGCAGACCCGACCCAACTTAGTTGTGCTAAACCTGTTATTCTAGTGGTAATTCAATTTATAATTGTATTTGCTTGTAGCAACCTAAAGGAGAAAGTTCCTTGGTACTATTTTGTTTACTACGCTTATGAGAATTTATAATTAATAATTTAATCCACATATGAAGAGCTCCTATCATGTATTAAAAAGTATGTAACATCAATATGACTGCAAAGTTAGGTATATTTCCTTAACCTAGACCAGCCAGTAGCATACATGTGGTCAGCTATCAAATAAACGCATGATATTGTGCACTGGTATTATGTAGTGTCTATCCAGTCGATATTTGAGAAAAATAATCCCAGTATGTAAAAAGATTACAATAGCTGAACATGCTAGGTATGACATCTTTTTCAAACACTGACTGCAACATTATATTTACTCGACCTAATCATTGGGGTTTTTGCCATAGGCAACAGAAGGTTTTATTATGCATCAGGTTCATAAAATACGAATAGCAGTATGAGAACGTGCTCCGGGAATTGCGTTTATCATCTTGCCAGTGTCCTTGAATTATCCTGAGCAAAATGCTAGCACAATCGAAAAATCAACAAATTACACACATGGTTTTGCTGACTGTAATTTCTTGCATGGAACCTGAACAACTAAATGCGGAACTAAAGGCCCTTAGAATAATGCAGTGCGTGTATCCTATCCACGCAATTAATAATTAAATGGATATTTTGCTTGCTCTCAATTCGGGCAAATTAATTAGGTGTCCGATTTCATCGCTGTTTTACTACAGTTGGTTTTGAGTAATAACTTGTTCATTCACACAAGGCTTGGGGCCCAAGTGCAAAACAAAAATACACAGTAACAGCAACTGCATGAAGTTATTTTCAGAGGATTCGATCAAATTCTGAACATAATAATCCAGATGATGTATTGTTTTACGCTGTCTTCTTAATCATTAGAACATTTTCCAAATGCCAATAGTCAACCGTTACGGGTGGTTTTCAACGCAACATATAGTGTTCCCTATACTTACTTTATTACATTAAGATTACTAGTCATACATTAGGATCTTAGCTGAATATACTTGTATATGTTGAATATGTATCAGAGCGGAAAGTAAATTATAGGTTAACATAATACACATAAAATATTGCTACCAGTATTCGACACCAACCTTGGTACAGGATGATACACACATCATAAGTTGTATCCGGTCATTCAATTTATGCCCATTGTTCGATCTTAAAGCAAATGTTTGGAGAAGAAAATATCAACTGAAACGTTGTTGATAGCCTAATATTGTATACTGATACGTTTACTCAAAAAAGAACATTTTATTGAAACATTTTAATCCTACCATTTTTAATCGTTTCGTTCTAATCAACAATATGACATTGCAACTACATGACCATAGTTATAGTTTTAGTTTTTAACCCCATGTTAACTTTCATTGAGATAAATTTGGAATTGTATGGCTTTGTTTTAGACACTGAACCATTCCGCTTACATGCAGTGCAGAACCACCAACCAACCGGACGTGCATGAATTAATGCGATGCGATGCAAACTCAAAAGTCTACGAGTTCATTCTCAAAGTCAGTCTCTTTTCAGAGCTGATGCATATTCCACAGTTTTATCCGGGTGTTCCGGTTTACTTTTTGAGTAAGTGCATATTGTATCGACCTTAGATTATCTGTGCAACCGGTATTTCCTTGTGATAACACCCCTGAACGGAGCAGCAGATTTTTGGCTTAAGCATTTTCAGCAAATTCCGTTAGTTGAGCTATTGGCCACGCAAAACTTTTTCTATATGGGAGAACATATTTTGGCATACGTACTTATAGAAGTTTTCAGAAGTGTATTTTTCTTGATCGCTCTGTTATGCACAACCACGAAATTACTTAATTCATACAGGTCAAACAAGCACCTGTTGAAACTGTGTTATCACATGCCCATTTAACTCCTTGCAGTAGCACAGCGGAATACAGAAATTAGTCGTTGCGTTAAGAAAAATGCATTATCTAGGATCTTAGCGTAATTGGTGTGCTTTTAATTAGTTTGAGGGATTGTGTTCAGTTAAATTCATAGTGTAAAATTCCATCAATTAATCTGGAATTTAACCCTTAATTTACTCAATTGGACAAAAGTAATGTTTGGCTTATAGATAGGTAGATAACACCAGCTTAAAATTGTCCACCTTTTATCCACTCCAGGTGCGTCAGAATCCTCCGCCTAGCACTTTCATTTAAAGTTTATTTCATACTGAGCAGTGACGGCGACTAGCAAACATCAAAATAACATTCCCCGGCAACAATTACTACTGAATTAAGATCATTGTCGGTTCATTTTAGGTGCCGCTAACGTAGATGAATTGCAACATGCAATCTCAGCTTGGACACTAGTTGCCGAAAGTTCAATTGTTTCAGTAATGTAGGTGAAATCAAATGTGTTAAGTTTTCCGAACCGAAATCGTCTAGTTTTCGTACACTACTGACGTTGTATTTAAAAGCAGAGTTTAACCAAACCCCAAACGCTTTCTCAAAGTGCAAATTGGGATTGAGTGGCACACTTTTAGGTAATAAACCCTTACAGTTGTATGCCTTTCTATGAAAACAGCCAAAATGCCTACAAATCATTTTGTTACTTTTAAATACTCAGCCGATAAAAGAATTTTTAAATTTGTATATGGCTTATAATTATTAGATCCTGTGAACCTTAAGTTGATATGGGAAACCACTCCGGATTGGTGTATCCAAGCAACCGGCGTAAGAGGTAAATATGTCGCCAGTTTCCATATATTTAAAAAGATCTTAAACATTTTTCTCTGGTTTTCTAGTAAAACCGAGCGTTAACTTTTCCTCTTCTTAACTCACTACAGTGTTACGTTGAATGAACTGATGAATAACAGGTCAGATATTGGTTAACATAACACAGATTCAAAGATATTTCACCTGTTTGTCATGAATAGATGCATTAAAATATCACCATAAAACTGAGGAATGATAGCAAGCAGTGTAAATAAACAAGACTTATTCCTAGCACTTCCTTCATTCCAGACCTATTATATGATAATTAAAAACGATTCTACTAATGGTAAACTAAACCATAGCTACAGCCGCTATCAAAAGACAATTACCGCACAAGGTAGTGCCTCTCGGAAAATTGTAGGTGCGTAAATGTATAAAACAACAAGATTTATAACATACAGTAATTTGTTCTACCTTCCGTGTAGTTCGATTTTTAGAAACAGTGAATGTCGCGTATTCTGGTTAGTTAGTTTCTGAACGACAAGCCAGGCAGGCAAAGGAGCAGCTAACTATGAGAGTTATCTTCCTTTAAAATGTTCAAATAGTAAAATATACCCAATGTAATATTGTTGGTTAAACTGGAAATTCAGCGTGCGTAAACTTAAACCTGCTCTTATTTAAAGAGTACTGCTTACGGATAAAAGGTTAATGGAACAAAACTTAAGGGATTGTGAAGTTTACGCTTACCCTTACCAGCTTATAATGTTTGGAACTCCAAGGTTTAAATGAGGTATTTCAAAATATTAGATGACTAATGTGTTGTTAAAGATGAATAAAACCTGTAAACCAGGTAATTTTGATTCGTCGCCTTCCAAATAGCTGCGAAAGGATGCCTAATACAGAGGCGTGGTGCAGAGTACAAGTCTTTATACAGAGAAAAAATTTATGCATACTTATGTAAGGCAACATGGTAAGCATGCGCGCCTACATGAAATTGTAAACTAATCAGTTTCACGCCTCAAATTACGATGAAAAACAGACCTACTTAGACAAATATCGTTGCATCTATACAAAATTGCAAGTTGACTAACAAAATCCTACCTAACGACCTATCAACTGCATTTTACTGGTATCTGCATAATGTTATTGCAAAATGCGCTCACGTTCACTGCCATGGCATGCGGTAATTGATGACTTTGTCTCTCCAGTTGATAAGCTAATAGAGAAGCAATGAACATTCTTTAACGCAAGAAATATTACATTATCAGAAAAATTCTGTAGTGTTAAGTCGATAGAATTCATCTGAGTCAACATTGCTTTGAGTTGTTTGTCCCAGGTTCGATGAAAACGCTCTACTTATATATACTATACGTTGTATAATACAAACACTGAAAAGCTGAAGCTCATTTTTCAATAGTCAGATAAAGGCGAGTCATTCGACTTCATCACTTACTTGTTAAACTGATATTTTACAAAAATGTGTTAACCTGTGACGAAATTTTTCTCCGTACGAATTCTAAGTTAATGGGCATACATACTAACTTGAATTTTTCTGTACGAGATTAATAATATTGTACATTCTGGTGAGCACAAGCTTTTGGTATATACAGTGATGCAAGAAACTGATTAAAATGATATTTCGGAGCCGTTGTTCCGATCATATTATAGAACAAACTAAGCCTAAAAAGATCGTAGAATGTATGCCTAAATATTCGCAGCTAGTATTAATTTTACTCAGTCCTTGGAAGTGTAGTACACATGCAATTCAAAAGCAGCTGAGTCACCATGAACAGTAAAGGATGATAAAAGAAAACGTTTGTAGGTCATTAAATATAAACGGTTCCCTGTGAAATGAGTGAATGGAGGCGCAAAGTTGGTAAATTCCGACTGTATTAGTTAAACAACTACATTTGTATTCACTAAGTAAGAGAAAAAATGTTAACAATTTCTAGCATCATCCAAGCAACACGTCTGTCGGCAGATCGTAGGTAATATCAGTGGTATACCTCAATTTCGACGTTAAACTCTATTTGAGATAACTTCATATAACTTCAAGAAAATCAGACCGGAGTACCAGCTTCACACGCAATAGACTTAGAGATGGAACCAATAATCTTATTTTAAATGAATATGCAGTGAAGTCGAATTTCTAAATATATGCAGTTGCAGCTTCAGCTATTACTTCCAGTTTATGTGTTGAGTGCAAATTATATACGGTAACAAATATAAACATCCATTGTCAGGAAATATAAGTGGCCTGGTAAATCATATAGTCTTGAACTCCACTCGATGTGGTTGCCGCCAAATGTTAGGTTACTAACGCAGCTAAAATGTATGTTATGCCTACCTACCCCACTCAAAAATCGTATTAAGTTCAGCACATAATAAATGTATAGGCAATAATGAAAAGTAAAGAATCGAACTTAACTGATACTTCTTTAATATTATATCAAGCTAGACCAGCCACCTTATCGGAAAACTCATCGCCATACTCATAACTTCAGCCCACTGCCACTTCTGTGGTCAATGCTTGATAATCTGACAAGATTTCGTTTTCCATATCAATGATTTAACGGTATACATGAAAAAGTAATAAAACGCAGGGATGCAAACTGGAAACGTCTACGATTCTCTGCTCCCAATACGGTCCCATAAATGGAAATTACCAATATTCACAATAATGTATATTAATGTCCAGCCTTAGACAACGTGCCGCAATACATAGACTCAACGTAGGTATCAAAATGACCCAAAAATGCGCAGACATTAGAACAAAGTTTGCGAGCCGCTTTTTGTGGCGTAAATGTAGGGGTTTCGGCCCAAAATTTAAGTTCCCAGAAACGACCTGAAGACCCGATATACCTACCTGACGAGTGTGAATAATTAGAAACCCAGTTATAGAATACAGCTTTGGAAGCAGACG